GTATTAGTATAATTGATAACTCGTAGGAACACTAGGCTGGGTTGCTTACCACCTGGTCCTTGAATGGGTACTGACATACCATGCTCACACTTATTGTTTACATTGTATTCCACAGGGACGCTGGACCCGATTTCCAGCAGGTGCTGCTCCCCACCAATAGATGGAGCCCCCCGACAGTGATAGTGGTGCCTGCTCTTATCAGCACCCCTATCACCCGCTCGGGAAGTCCACACCTGAAGGGACCAATCAAGCTGGGTGCAGGGGCTGAGAGAGTGGGTTCAAACTGTTCACATATGATCTGTTATGACTTGCAGGGATCAATGCTGTATGCAAGGGACACTGGACTCGGTTTCCAGCAGGTGACCCCCCTCACCAATAGATTGGGGCAACCAGTGAAAGGTCTACTGTGAGGAGATCCTGATACCACTCCTAATAGTATCTCCAACTTCTATTCTTGTATATAAAAAAAAGAAAGAAACAAGTCCGGCAGTGCCACATTTTCAGTTTCGAAAGGGCAAGAACAACATGTGTGGGCAACAAAATCAGGTGTGGAGTTTGAAAATATCGGCAAATTTAAAATGGTTGTGGCCCACATATGATTTTGTTGCCCTTTTAAAACTCGGCGCGCGAGTTTGTTGCCCTTTTCAAACTCGGTGCGGGGTTAAAATGCTCTTGTTGCTCTTTCGAACTCAGGGGTGAGTTTGTTGCCCGCGTTTGATTTTGGTGCCCTTTTCAAACTTGTTAGCGCCACAACCGGACTTACCCCCCCAAAAAAAGAAGGGTTGGGGCCCAGTTGTGCTCTGTCTTTGGTAAGAAAGCACAACCCTGGTGACATCCCACAAGTAGTCAGATTCATGCAAGCCTCACAACAATGAAGCACAAGTGGGGCTGCCCCTGATAGTGGGAGAAAGTCAAAACAAAGGTACATTCTTAATGGTTGAGTGGTACACACCTGAAACAAGTGAATCGTAGCGATCAACAGATCAAGAGCTTAAATCCAGCGAAACACAATGAGTTAAATATAGTGGAATTTAACTTACCGTACCTTTTTTGGGAGATATTAAGAGCAAAAGGTAAGGTGACCATACTTCGGCACATGCCCCGTCTGTCCGGGCCCTTTACCAACGCAAGATGTCATCCGCCACCCTATGACGTACTCACCTCAGATATGGCCTGTTTAGCGGAACCACCTCCATCATGATGATGCAAACAGTCTAAGAGGAGATGGCCAGATGGCAAGGTGAGAAGTTGAGAAGATGCATGTCAAGGCAGTGGGGAGAAAACTTAGAAAAGTGAGCTTGGTGGAGGGCCCCACTGGCCCCCACAGACTTGGGGAATTCAAATTGTGCACAGCACTTTCTGAAGCTTGGCTGTCTTCAAGGGGCCTGGGAGGCCCATAGAGAGTCTTAGATTCGTAGCTACAAACAGGTCATTTTGCTCGCTGGTCCCCACCATGCATACTTCTGGCAGCCACAGACAGATAACTTTCTTCTCAGAGGTATCAGCGGTCCCTGAAGGCCATCAGAAGAGCCTGCAGAGTTAAAGTTTGTGTCATGGCCTCCGAGCAGCTTGCATATTAATTGGCCTGAGGGGAAAATTTTTGGTTGATCATGCTTCTGATCAGCTGCCACTTTAATTGCCAATCTATAATATTGCCAAGAAGAAAGCTTCCATAACAGGAGTGAAGAACAAAGGAAGCAAGTATGTTCAGTCTGACAAAGCGTGCTTGTGACCATATCATTGTGAAGGCACGGGTCTTGTGTCATAGATGTAACGAGGGGGAAAGCGAACAGCTCGTTTGGTACCCTTTGCACATGATAGCAATTCAGAATCTCTGGTCGGACATCTGATGATTGGACTTCCATACCGCGTTGCTGTCCAAAATCGTTGCACAGAAAATCCACTTCAGGGTCTTTGAACTTCGGGATGCAACTTTCATTTTAGCCCTTTGCATGTCCAGGGATTGTGTCGGATTCACCCTTGCCGGTTATTAAAGAAAGGAAAAAGCATGGAGGCAGTGGATTTTGAGTTCGCAAACTTTAAGGCAAAAAGAAACATGCGCCTGCGAAGACAACAGCCACTAAGTTCGAAAATGCAATTTCGGTAGAAAAGGATCCGTTGGGTCTTTTTTTTCCCTTTTCCTGTCTGACACCACGGCCGACCCCGGCGTGTAGTTATGACACCTGGCCTGACATCATGGCCGCGGTACCTTCATTGCATTTCAGACTCAGCAGCTGTTTTTTTTCTGAGCGTGTTTTTTTTTTGTGCAAAGGTGACGTCAACGTAGTTTCCCCTTAAATACTTTTTTGCCTTTCGAGGTCGGAAATGTGCCTTTCTTGAAATGTGCACAGTGACCCCTTCTCACCTTAAAAAATCATTCATTTTAAAGACTGCATGATTGAAGAAACAAATTCACAATAATGAGCGAGCCGATGTCACCTTGTAAAAGTCATCAAACTTGTTACCATACTGATTAGAAGAGTCGAGATGACAAGCTTCTTGACATAGATAACTACAAGAAATCTCTACACAATTTTACTCCGTAGTCAAGACAACTCGCACTTGTACTGCATGCCAGGGACTTTACAACTAAGCTGTTAATGACATAGCATGTAGGAAATCTAAGTTGCAAGAAACTTTCAGAGTCCTCAGACAATATTACTCCTTAGGGCCTGATCTGACTTCTTACAGGAACGTCACTTTTAGGCAAAATTTGGGATCCCACTTCTTTCCACGAAAGTAGGATCCCGCCCCTGAATGTCGGGGATGTGGAAACGGTGTCGTACGTGGAGGCACGACCGTGATCACAGAGGCGGTAGTTCTTTTGGTTTTCGGGAGAGGCCGACCCCCTCTTCTCTAGCGAAAAAGAAGGCAGCATTTTTTTTTTTTTTTTTTTTTTCATCGGT